TTTTTTCTTGTGTCTAACTGGAGGTATTTGTTTTCTAGATTACACGCTAAAATGAACAGAATAGGTATAAAAAAAGTAATTTATTAAGTGAATTGAAAGCAGTTACACAAGGATACACACAGCTTACACAAGGAGGTTGGGAGGTGGGATAAAAAATTACCTCAATTCGATCTCGTAGTCACAGGGTGCTACATCAGCAAAAACATGTAACAAGAAAATGTTTATAATTCTTTTTCGCACAATATTTGGAGCACAGTGGCCGGGTTGGGGGGGGGGAGAGATATAAAGCATCAATTCCACTGAAAATCACGAACTTGCTGGATTTTCACGTACCTATAACGCAGATATATACGGAAGCTGGGTAGTAGAATGTTAATTTGCATTTAGGATGGGGGAGGAGGGGCAACAGGATCGGTGGCAGACGCGTGGAGGATATGCGAACAGCGCGGGGCTACCTTTGACAAGCCATAGCTCGCGATCTAAACGTTTCCCCAAGATGCGGTTTTTTGCATCTTATAGGAAATCGAGTGTAGAATCTAAAAAACTGGTTTTTGTTTTAGTAGAGTCATGGCGCGGTGCCGAAACACGACAAAATTGAAAATTTTGTCTCCTTAAAAATCGAAAAATTGCTTAAAATTTGCATTAAATTTAACTTTTTTTTCAATTTTTCTGGTATCAGCAGATAGATCTTTTTGAGATCTTTCATTTAAAAAAAAGTTCAACTCAATCCAATTTTTCGCTCAAAAGTTATAGGCAGTTGAAGGTTTTGTCTTTGACCCCCCGCCCCCCCTCTCTGGGGGGGCCTAAGTCAAAATGACCGCCATATTTGAACGTCTCGCATGCTACTGTATCACTCCTGAAAAGATGGATCATATTTGATAGGGGGCCAAATCTAATGGGGGATGGAACAACCTCTTTGCACCTTGTCCAGTGGTCCATTGTAAAAATTAATTTTCAATCGAGGTCTTAAAAAAGTCGTGTATTGTAGTTATTTCCAAATGATCCTTAAAAACTGATTAGATGTTACGTCCCCACTCTCCCTATCCTCAAATATACTGGCCATCTGACCGATTTGGAGTCTGCATTTCCATCCGCACTCCAAGCGCGCCGAAACTCTTCAATCATCTCCTGATTCAGAAGCTCTACACCTTGGTCTTTAGCTTTTTGATACGCGAACCTGGATTTCAAAAAAACGAAATAATCATCCAGGTTCATCGTTTTCTCATTCTTGAAATGAAACGGTCCAGTCCCATCGAGTCCATGCAAAGGTTGAAAAGGGAACTCGAGATCCTTGTACCCATCATGCGCGATTTTTTTCCTCGGATCTCCGTAAGGGTTCTCGTTATACTTCCGGAGAACCGTGTCCATTTTCGGATTGACCTCTGGGAGTGTATAGCACCAGGCCGCGATGACCCCATGTGGTTTTTTCAGCACCCTCCTCACTTGCTCGTAAAATATCGGTAGGTCGAACCAATGTGCGGCTTGGGCGGCTGTCACCAGATCCACGCTCGATTCTGGGGCTGCTTTTCGATAAAGCTCGTCTTTGGACATATTTGGGGAGGTCTGTTCGTAGCGGACGTTCGGAATTTTCGGCGCTAGTTCCAGCTGCTTTGAACTCGTGTCCGTGGCTACGATTTGCTCGTAGTGCTCAGCCAACTGAAACCAACAAATCTCTTGGTAATTTGTGTCGTTCTCCTCTTGAGGGAACGTAACTGCATCCCTATGTTGCCAAATTTCCTTTCGCAAATTGAATTGGATTTCATTTTGTAAAAAGGAACCACTAGCATTGCAATGATGCTAAGATTGTGCAACTTCATCTTTTGCAATAAAATTGCGGAAATCGTGAAAAACTATGAAATTTAGATGGTAATTTTCGTCTTAAATTTACAGTTTTTAGCGAGTAAAATAGAAACTATTAATGGATAATCGGGTTTTTCCTCCAAGACAAAAGAAGTTGCACAATTTTAACAACATTGCAATGCTAGTGGTTCCTTTTTGCAAAATGCAATCCAATTTTTACCATGGAAATTTGGAGAATTTTCACCATGAAGATTTTAAGAATTTTTAATTGAGAATTTTATTTTTTTCTTCTGATCTCATATTAAAATTAGACACATTTTGGGCTTAAGGACATTGGTCGTGCGCACGACCCGCCTTTCATTATTACACCTCATCTAGCGTTGAGAGTTCACTAATTACTTCACGCGACCAGAGTGTAATTTTAAAAGTCGAAAATTTTAAAAAAATATTTGAAACAAAAAACAACAAAAAATTTACACGATACACGAGTTTCTCCGCCAGGGAGCTTTCCCTGCAAGAAATCGTTCACCACCCGCCCGCTCGGAGAGCCGCAACGCGGCGTGTCCGTACTGTCCGTGCTGCCTGCGCGAAACGCGCTCTAACGCCTACAAACCTAAAGGGCTACCTCACGCATTGCGCAATGCTTGAAGTATCTCCTTAGGTTTGTAGGCGTCAGTGCTCGTTCCGAGCTGGCAGCACGCCGCAGTCGCAGTGTGCTATAAACTCGCCCACAATTAATAGGTCTTGGTGTTAAAATGTAGAGCAATTTGACATCAAATTCGAAATTAGCGACTCAAAAAACATCAGTTACGAAACTTTCGTGGCCTTTCAATTATTATCCGACTTATTTCTTCCTATTCTTGAGTTTTAGACCATAGTGCGCTCCGGGCGACGGCGCTCATGAAATTCTCCCCTGTGCTCAATCGCATGTTTCATCCCCCCTTAAATGTTTGAAATTAAGTCGGGCAACATAAACTTACCGACCGGGCAGCTTGTCCATTGCCCGTCCCGACATCCCAAGCAAGCTTACGCTCCGGAGTCTTTTCGGCAATAAAACGGAATAATTCTGCCGGGTATGTAGGACGGCCTCTTGCATATTGCACCGCCTGTTTCATGAACAAATTGGCCATCCCCTCTCCTATATTTCGTGACGTAATTTACCTGTTACGAATTGTAAAAGGATACGAATGGAGATGTTGCATGTGTGAGGAATTTGCGATTAGACTATTGATTCTCATGTAAAAGTTCGCGAAAAATACGATGATGCCACTGGTTTCCTCTGAAATCAACTCCCAAGCTCAAAAAACCTCTCAAACTGAGGCCAAAATGGAGGGGATATCCCACGCTATTCTGAGAGTCCACCTCTACATCAAGACGAACTCTCCATGCAAAGATAGGGAGCAAATACATTGACGGGGCTGCCACTCTATTTGGGAACTCTAAGACTGAAAACACGGCAACCCTGCTAATGTATTAGCTCCCTATCTTTGGCATGGAGAGTTTGTCTTGATGTAGAGGTGTACTCTTAGGATAGCGTGGGATATCCCCTCCATTTTGGCCACAACTTGAGATCTTTTATTGAGCTTGGGAGTTGATTTTAGAGAAAACCAGTGACACCATCGTGTTTCTCCCGAACTTTTACGTAACAATCAGTAGTCAAATCGCAAATTCCTCACACATGCAACATCTCCATTCTCAATATGGCCCTTTAAGTATACACAGAGAGAAATTTCAACACAAAACATTGATTGATGCGGGAAGTAAAACACAAAATAACCCGGTAGCCTCCGGTTGATAATTTCAAGAGAAAATGCCGGCCAGTTTCCTTGAAGAAATTTAATAAAAAAACGAGTGGCGAATACCAACATCGCAATCGGAGGAATGCTTTCCCCCAGTCTCGATATTGTTTTTGTGCTAAACTCACCGCAAACTGTACCAATATCGACCCAAAATGTAAGTCTGTTCGTGTTTCACTTCCCATATTAACTAAAAGTAACGTAAGAACACGAATGCTTTCATCAGTGTAGGAGGGTTCTCTACTCGACTCGTTTACACACACACACTTCTCAACACAAGTTAAAATATTCGCACTTTAATATTAACTAGGGGTTACGCCCTCTCACGGAAAAAAATGGATTGCTGAGTTAAAAGTTTAATTGTTAAAAAATAGGTCCGACATTTTTCAAATGTAAATTTTACAATAGTGGAAGGCTAATTTAACAACGCGGGTGGTTTCAATAGCATTTTTTTTTGTTGTTGTAAAACATTCAATGAAACATGTCGGGCACTTTTTTTTAACTACAAAATTGTTAAATCAGCAGTATCATTTTTTACGTGTTAGCCGTACACTGTTAAAAAAAACGGAGTGAGACTCAGCACAAGCGCGAGTAAGAACGGGCCCTCACTTCGCCGGACCGAGGAGTCACTCCGACGGAGAATCGGCTGGACGGATTTTGTGGGTGCCGTACGCATAGAAATCACTCCGACGCCGGACGGATTCGCGGGAGCCGCAAATTTAGGGGTTCGCAGCTAGGGGATGGTGGAAAGGGGTTAATTGTGGAAATAATTTTTGAAACCATGAAAAATAAAAATAATGAAACCATTGGTACGTAATTTAACCGATTTTGAAGGATAGAAATTTTCTACCTACCTTGGGAGTTGAACCCGGGACCTACCTAACATTAACCGACTACCCTACCGATTGAGCTATAGCGAACGATTAACCTGACGCAAAAACGGTATTTAACGTCGATTTGAACGGGCCGCTAAGATATTTTCAATCTACTTGGATTTGCCCGTGTATTTAGTTTGATTTACTATATTTTTTAACTATATTTTATCGTTTTACTTTGTTTTATTTCCTTGTTGTCTCTATTTTTTCTTCACTCTATTTTATTTTTTCAAGCACTTCATTTTTTTTTCTTTAATTATTTACTTCTCATTCCTTTACTTTGTTTTATATTTACTGTGATTTCTTTTAATACTTCATCATAATTTTTGGACTTCACTTTACTCTTAAAATTCATTCTATCCTTTAACATCATTTAGTTGTTTCCCTTATTTTATTTTTTTCTTCATCTCCTTGCTCCCTCTAATTATTTACTTCAATTTAGTCTTTGACTTCATTTTATCATATTTGATTTACTTTATTTTATTTCTTTTCTATTGTCTCCGTTATACCATAATTTCGACTATTCTATTATTTCCACTATTCTATTATTTTTTCTATTTTTTTCTCTTTAAATTTTTCATTTTCATTCTGAGAGTGGTAGGCTTAAAGGGGAGAAGAGACGGTATATAGCGCTAGTGCGAGGGAGAGAAGGTGCGCGTGACTCCGGGCCGTACTGCAGCTCCGGTGCGGAGTGCTTTTACTACACATGCAGCCCGCCTCAGCACCTACGCGCTGAACCGCACTCCCGTGTTCATTCTCACTCCGGATTTTCCGTCGGACGGAATCAACGATTTTTAACAGTGTAAATTGGTCAGCGTAATGCTTCGCATCTCCGGCTTTATGCGTAACCCTTTAGATTTTATACAAATATCACGGAATATAATGAGAGTGTTTATGTTTAAAGTCACAAACCGAATTAACTAGTCATCACGAGTACTGATTGAAGGCATCAGTAAAAACATGAAAATCTCTTTTTTCCCGAGGGTATTGCTTGAACTTTGATTTTGACTTAGTGCGTCATCCAACTTGGGACGAAAAGGTCTCTTGCATCTAGTGTCCGGACTCTTTAAAAATTTGACCAAAAAAATTTTCTTTTGATTAAATCAAAAGACAATTCGCTTACGTTAAAAGGCTTGGCTCTCGATTTAAACAAATTAAAATCTAATTGAATCAAGAGGCTTTTGTTTTTGGTTGTCAAACTTTTTAAGAGTTAAAGGTGTACTCTAGATCCAAGAGACTTTTTTCCCATGAAAGTTCCGAAAATTTTCGGTCTCTTATAACGAGTAAAGCAATTTTGAGTCTTGTGACCAAGGTTTCTTTCTCCGTGTACAGTCTCAAGTACAGTGGCGTGCTATGAATCATCGACTTTCGATATTCTCCCAGAGGAAAGTATGGTGAAGAATCAAGGTGAAAGAATGAAGAAGAATAAGGCGTGAAGCCTCATGGCCTCATGGCTTCATGGTGAAGAATAAGGCGTTTGCTGTAAAAACCCTGATAATCGATCGTTTTCTGTGAGTTTTATTGGCAGATCAGTCGATTTGTCGCGAAGTATGTCACTCCCCTGCTCAAGTAAGTTTAAGGCATTTATTTCAAGAAGAAAAGTTTGATTCTTACCCAGAGGATGTCTGTAAAATCTAGCAGTTGCTGAGGAATCCTTGACGGCCAACCACTTTTGAGCAGTAAAACTCAATGAAAAACACTCACACGAGATGACCATGCGACTTGCTTTCGCACCTCGTCGCTTAATGAAGCCAGTTCCGAAAATTTTCGCCCGTCATGACAATCAAATGACCTTGTATTAATTTTCTTCTACGAATCTCATCGTGGAACCAATTGTTCTTTACATTTCTCTATTGTATCACGTTTTAATTAGGAAAAGTGTACCGGTGCAATCTTGAGATGCTAATTTGCTTCCTCGTGCATCTAAATTTACATTTGTCTGTTATTCTTGTTCCAAGTTCTCGCTATTTCACACTCATCGTTGTTTCTCGGACAAATGAACGCAACTTGATTTCAACTTGGCAACTTTTCCGTTCACTAATTGGATTGGATTTTGCAAAAGTGAACCGATAGCATTTCAATGTCGCTAAGCTTGTGCAGCTTTTTTTTTACCTCGCAAATATAAGCTGATCATCGGAACAAGTTTTATCTTTACTCCCAATATACTATGAAATAAAGACAAAAATCACTTTTGATTTTTTGCATGATCTCAGTAATTTTTTTGGAAGTAATATAAGTCGAACAATCCCAGCAACATTGGAATGCGCTTTGATCCCTTTTTGCGAAATGCAATCCAATTATTCGTAACTTTACTAGGATATCAGTGGGAAGTCCTGAGTAAAAATTAGACAGCTTTATCTTTCTGATATCAAGCGATAATTTGCAAAATTTTGATAAAAAACTGCCTGGTCATATTCTCGTGTAAAATTGAACGGCTTAAACTTCTCCGACTTTGGACAGTATTTTCGGAATTTCAATTGAAAAATGGCGTCATTATGGCCTATTGAGAACAAAGATAAAAATTTATTTGTTCACATTCTTCTGTACCAAAAGAAATGAAGGAGGAAGTCAGGTCCACTAATTTACATATGAATCAGTTAGGACGAAAACACATCAAGTCGGAAAAAAGAAAATAATTAAGACACCCACAAAACTGCACAGTAGGTGAAGAGGTTAGTTAAAGAAAACTATTTTTGCTGCTGAAAGACAAGTACTTACGGCCACGTTAAAGGTCCAAGTTGGAACAGACGTGCTAACTTCAATGACCTTTATGTAAATTAACTGTCATTAATGGAAATTGAGTATGTTCGAGTTACCGAGTTGGTGTGTTTTCGTTTTCACTGATTCATATCTACTTTAGGTCAACTCGAAAACCCTTGCCTCTGTTTTCACAGTTAAAAATCTTCAACTTATAAACTTTCTTTAATAATTTTTTATTTTTTTAAAAAAAAATCAACCAAAATATTTTCTAGAACTTTTCTGCGAATATTTCTAAACGAGTGAAGAAAATTCTATGAAAAACTCTCGATTGTTTCCCCTTCCGAAAAGAAAATAGGCGCAGAGCCTTATTGCAATCGGAGATGCGCATTTTTCGACTTCAGCCACCGATATTTTTACGAAAAGCAATATGTATTGGATATTTTAGAAGTTCAAATTGTTTCTGTTATTTATTATATTAATAATGAATGGCAAAGAAGTTAAAACTGTTATTATGATCATGAATAATGCAGCTTCTACTCGTTCCGGCTGATATCCTCATGTTATGATAATTCTTAACACGATAATTACAGAATAATAATAGCTAATTATAGATAATTATTTTCTAGAACTTTTCTGCGAATATTCTTAAACGAGTGAAGAAAATTCCATGAAGGACTCTCGATTGTTTTCCCTTCCGGAAAGAAAACAGGCGCCGAGCCTTGCAACTGGAGATGCGCATTTTTCGACCGATATTTTTACAAAAACCAATATCCTTGAAACATTATCTTTGAACTTTCCAACGAGCTTAATTGATTTTCCTCGCTGTAATCTTCTCCTTGGTGCATTAGAGGGAGCTTTGAAAAAAAAAAGACGGAGTTGTTTTTCACGGAAGCTCTTCATAGGTTTACGGTAATCAAGCCCCTTTAATTTCGAACGGGAAGCGGTTTGGATTCCTCATTACATGTACCTCTAAACATATCGACGGTGAAACTACCAAACCACGTATTTCGGTTTGCGACGTCGCAGACTTCCTGTCATACTTTATTTTTTAAATGAAAAATTACTCAACATCCAGTCTTGAAAATTTTTGTGATTTTTCCTCATCGTGCGGAGAAAATTCTGTGAAAATTTCAAGGAATGATATTGATTTGGTCTACTTCAAAAAGAAAATGCGAGCGTAGATTTTTAAACACCGCAAACGAGATACGTGGTTTGGTAGTTTCACCGTCGATATGCCGTCGGATCTCGCGAGGGCTTTATCGGGTTTCCGCGAATCCTCGGCTCGAAAGCGCAACTTCCTTTTTTCACGCTTTCGCGAGCTGTCCATTCGAGACGTCCGTGGTTAAAAGCCCCGCCGGATTGATTTCGCTCCGGGAATTAATTTGAATTTTCCGGAACTCGTTTAAAGTGCGGCGACCGTTCAGGTTCACTCGGGCCTTTCGTTTCGCCCGGCTCCTTTTCCGGGAACCAGCACTGCGTTCATTTCACCGGGCCAAACGTCGTAACTGCATTTAAAGGCTGCAAAATTTCCCTTTGCATTGGCATTTTCACTACACTGTTAAAAATTCCGGCGCGAAATTCACGCTTACTCAGTCGCTATTTTGACCACCTGTTACTTTGAGTGCATGGATCCGGCGCGAATTTCGTCCTCTGGCGGGAGTGAAAACCTGACAGGCAAACGTAAAACGGAACTGCCACTAATTTTCACACACTGCCAATATTTTTCCTCCGATTTTTCAGAAAACTTCACACGCTAGTAAATCTAAAGTACCTGAAAATTTCAAGAGAAAATATTCATAACTGTCCCGGAGGACAAATATTTTAACGGGGGGAATCCGGTGACATCCGAATGTTCATACTAGAGCCCCTTTATACTGAGAGTCAAGACAACACCCCCTCATGGAGTCACAAACGGGAATAAAGATTGCAGAAATTGAACGTTTTTTGTAATCTTTGATCGGCCCATTCTCAAATTCCTTTCTCCGTTCCTTCTCTCATTCCGTTTGTTCCTTGCCGAACCCGTAATTCCCTGGTCCATTCCAGATTATAGTCTTTGCAATCGGTGAAAATGTAATCTTTATTCCCGTTTGTAACACTGTGAAGGCCTAAAATACGGGAACCAATCAGAAATGGATTCACATTGTCTTGACTCTCAGTATGAAAGGACTCTAGTTCATACGACGTTCTTCCGTAGCATGGCAGAGTTCACCTGGCACACATCCCTCGAGTGGAAATCGATTAACGCGCGGAGCAGACGGAAAGGAGAGAATAGTCGAATCCCTCGATGCCAAAACCCAACAAGTTCATCTCCCGATGAGCCCTGAGTTCCATAAGAACATATACATTCCGGGGGTCATCAGATGTTCGGTCTTACCACGGGCCGATCCAGTTGAACTTTGTAAGGATTAAAAGTTTGCGCGTAAGAGCCCCTCGCTGTGACGGCAACTTATCTCTTAATTGTTTTGCTTAAGCTCATTAAACTGCCGAGCACGTTTTGTCGGGAATAAAGGTCTCTCAATTTACCGGACATAGGTGGTCGTCGCCGGCGGCTGGGAGGCGAAATTTTAATTAGTGCATGTTGTTTAAATTACATGATTTACGTACGGCCAAGCTGCCTCCGGCGGTATTTTTGCGATTTAACGTAAGCCGATAAGCTGGTTTTATGTTGCTCACAGAGGAGCGGGGTCTGATTGAGTTCAAATAATGCTCCTCCGCGAACCGGGTAATAACGTTGTTTTTCCTTCTCGTCTCGAGGTTTTGTAATTTGCGCGGCGCTGTACGGAGGAAGGAACTGGGAACGTTCGCGCCGTGGATCGGGCTCACGACGTGACGTTTTGACGTTTTTGACGAAAAATATAAGTGTCTGATTACTTACAAGGGTGAGTTGCATTTATTTACAACGATATAGAAAGCGAGTACCGGATTCGATACATGTAAAATTAGTTCTACACTGGAAAAAAAAACACATTGTATCTAGAGTCCAGACTCTGAAAAACATCGACAAGAAAAAATACTCATGATTCAATCAGAATCTAGCTTAAATCAAGAACCAGCCTCTTAATTTAAGCGGATTTCGTTTTGATCCAAGCAAAAATCCGATTGAATCAGGAGTATTTTTCTTGTTAATGTTTTCAAGAGTCTGGACTCTAGATCCAATGTAGTTTTTTTTTTTTCCAGTGAGCCGCAAAATTTAAATTCATGAAAAAATAAACGCCAATTTCCTCCATAAAAGTTGATTTTGTATTATTCACGTTGTGGAAAAGCTTATCAGGACGCGACTTATCGTCATATCCCGAATCTAGGAACGCAACTCCATTCCAAAGTTGTGAAATTGACTCCAAGAATTCAATGATTATAAGAATCTAAGTTCGCAGTTTTTTTTTTTTTAAATTTTGTCGTGTTTTTGCTCGAAATTAGTTGAAGAATCGGTGATATTTGAAATAGAAATTCCCAATCCTCCTGCTTGAAGTGCAAAATTTGGCAACATTGCATGAAGTTACGTTATTTCGTGAGAGGAACTACGATATTATTGAAAAACTCCACCAAAGCGGGGAGAAATGGCCAAGGCATACTGGACACAACGAACTAGCGCGGAATTGAGGAGTTTTCAGGAAAAAAAGACCCCAACGAACTAGCACGGGATTGAGGAGCTTTCAGGAAAAAAGGCCCCTCTTTAGCGAAAAATCATGTTTGAGAAAATTATTTTGAAGTTTCCATAATTATTTTCTGGCACTGACGGTGGCTTATATCGGCGCGCCGTGGTACGCTGCGGCACGGCGGACGGGCGGCCAACGCCTACAAACCTAAGTGGATACTTCAGGCATTGCGCAATGCGTGAAGTATCCACTTAGGTTTGTAGGGGCCAGTGCGTGTTACGCGCTGGCAGCACGCCGCGCGCCGTTCTGTTTGGTTCTAATGTTTAAACTCGTGGAGTCAGCATTTTTCAGCTCATAATTTTGAAATGTTTGTACACCGTGCATGGATTATTTGCATTTAATTTTATGAAAAAAAAACATGTCATAAAGGAAAACATAATGT